CAAATAGGTACGTCACTGTTAAATAGATAGAGATAGGTGAAAAGAAAGTATACGTGGAAACCTATAATCATCATCCTTATCCTCATCTTCATCATTATCATCGTCAGTCATCAACAATCCCAACCGAATGTTTTGACCCATTCTTTTTCCTTGTTACCGCTTTTCCTTACTCCGTTTTATTCCTTTCCCTCGTCCTAGTTCTTATTCCTATTCTCTCTCGTCACTCCTCACAGACAGCGGTCCACCGAAGGAGAACTCCGATGGTGCTGAGGTTATAACGGAATCAAATGGAGAGAGCACACAACAGCTGCCTCAAGAAAAGGAGGGGGAAGAAACGACGGCGGAAGCTGGCAAGCAGCCCTCCACACCGCCACCTCCGCCAGCATCATCTGCCGAACTGCACAGTTACCTCCTACTAACTCGCGAAGACTCCACAATGGTTCGTCTTCTGGCACTTCTTCTCTTCTGCCCTTTTTTGAAACATGCGAAATTAGTAATCTGTGCTACTTCAACAGGCAGTGAAGACTACTAACTATTCAGTCGTGGTTAGTAAGGCCTGTGAAATGCCTAGACGAGGGGGAAAGTGGATTACCGTCTTATATTTGTTCCGGAAATCACGTCACTTACCGGTTTTTAGGCAGTCCCACCGCTAGCTTGGTCAATCAGTATGCGTTATCTTGCACTTTCCCACGCCAATCTCTGGCATCAGGTGAGGGAACGCGCCCATAACAGGATTGTAATGATGGCACCGATCTTAAGGCCTTTGCTTTTTACTACTGCCACGTTCATACGCTGCATCAGGGAGACCTCTTGTCGTTGGTATTGTGGCTGACGATATATCATACGGTTTGTCACCATTTAGTCGGAAATATGTCGAGGACCTTCTCAGTTTAACAGTTTCATAGCTCTAAACGTCAGTCCACAAGTGCAACAGTGGCACGAAAAATGGCTTCCCCGCAGCTTATGTCGCTATCGGTCCTGGCGTCCCACAATTGCTCACCCTCCGGACCTTAAGGTCGGCTTATTTCGCCGTTCAACTATCCGTCCGCCTGAATGGGCAAATATTCCTCATGTGGAACAGCCCAGTAACAAGAAACACCAGGTTTCTGTCTTACGCGACCACTGTTAATAGCGGTTTTATGGGCGGGACATATCAGGCGAAATAAAGAGTATTTAAAATAGTTGAGCAAACAAAAGTAGAAAATAATAACAAGAATTATTTAAACAACCTTATTTCGCACTTTCCCACGCTGTTCCCTGGCTTCAGGTGAGGGAACGTGCCCATAACACGACTGCAATAATGGCGATGATTTTAAGGTCTTGGCTTTTTACTACTACCACGTTTATACTCTGCATCAGGGAAGCCTCTTGTCGTTGGTGTTGTGGCTGGCGGCATATCATGCGGTTTGTCGCATTTTAGTCGGAAGTATGTAGAGA